CCCTGCCTGGGCTGGACCCAACACCGTCCCGCTGCTCTCTAATGCTGCCGATGCCTGGGGGGTACTGCTGGGCCATGCCCTATCCCATGCCCAGGTGCCCCTCCAGACCTTCTCAGGACCCTCCAAAATGTAGTCCAGTCTGTATGTCCCCAGATTCCAGAAGTTGCAGAAACACCTCAAAGACACCCTGACCATGCTGCTGTTGCACTTGACTCAAACCCCAACAGCATCCTGAAGTGTTAGTGAAGCCCAGAGACCCCGCCGGGGCAGTCCCCACCTCTAACCAGTGGTTCCATGTCTTAGAGACCCAGTCCTTCTCCATGTGGGAGCCTGGCTGGAATAGCCCATCCCCCATTGTTGACCAAGGAAGGAGCCAGCAGTTTCATTTGTGACCAGAGTGAGGCTCGGCCAACATGGGATTGTTATAGCCCCATCCTGATCACAGATGGGGAATTTGAGGCTCAGAGGGGCCGGCAACTCTCCTGAAAATGCACAGCACCTGCGGAACCCAGGCAGGCAGGCGCCAGGTGGCCATGACCCTTGCCCTTGGTGGGCGGGGAGGGGGGGTATGCATGTGGGAGTGGGAGAAGGTGGGAGAACCTGCTCAGGTTGGTTTCAGATTTGAGGTAATCAAGGACCAAAGACTGCTAAAGTTGCCAGCAGAAGGTGCCCTGGAGAACTGGGCTACCTAGGATCCCAGGGGAGGAGTTTGGGGCAGGAGAAGTGTGAGGCTCTGAGGAGTTCTTGAAAATTCCTTGGTCTCCCCTGTGCTGTGTATTTCCAAGTAAACCTCTGTCCTCTTGGACAGAGAGTAACCTGCTAACGAGGCCCTAGAACCACAGGCCCAGTCTGCAGTTGTCCCCAAGACCTGGACCTGTCTGGCAGGGGAGATGTCTAGGGATCCTGAGGGTCCAAGGCATCTAGAAACTGTGCAACCTGTGTGGCCTGGCACACCAGCACATAGGAGGCCCACGAGTGGCCGGTTGTTTTTTCTCCCCAAGAAACCTCCAGGCTAGCATCTCCTCTGCCCACGAGAAATCCTGCTTTTCCGGGGCCCTACTCCTGCTGTCTCTGATGGCGCTAGGCCCACTGTGAGTCCTACAGTCCTTGAAACACCATGGGGGCCTGGGAGTCAGCATTTTGTCCAATCTGGAGGTAGCATCCAGGGCCCTAGAACACCGGATCCACCAGAACGACTGGGTGGAAACCACGTGGGATATGTCTCATAGCCTGGCCATTATGTTGCCACTTTGGCTCCAGGCCCACAGGTCAGAGTGGCGGCATTTCAGGTGAGATGTGCACTTGGTAACGTTCATACCTTGAAACTTAATTCCTAACAGAGGCTGGGTGCACATTCCAACAGACCCTTGTCCCCTGACTCACTCAACTGCCTATGAATCCTTCTTACAACCCTGGGAGGGGGTGCCATTACCACATTTTACAGACAGGGAAACTGAGGCTCATCTGTCACAAGCTGAGGGTTGAGGGCTCACAGATCTCAATGACTCCAGTCCAGCCTTTAGCTGTTCCTTCTTCCCCATATCCATTTCTCTTCCTCTCTGTCCTCACCAAACCTTCCTTCAGCTGCCCAGAGCCTGGCAGAAGTGCCTGCTTCTCCAAGACGCATGGGGCACAGAGAAAGGGGACGAGATGGAAAAGAGAGAAGCAACCCCAGGCTCTGGGAGGTGGCCCTGGCTCCCCACTGCTTGGGTTGGAGTCACCCAAGGGGGTGAGGGGTAGGGTCTGGGGCAAGTGGCTCTTGTGGCCGACACACACGTCTTGTCTTGAGGAAATTCCAGAGAATACCAGTTTGGAATCGGCTCTCTGTTCCCAAGGCCTGCGTTATCCCCAAGCACTACAGGAGGCTTTGGGGGAACAGTTGGCTTTCTGTCTGCCCAGGGCAGGGGGCACCTGGTGCGTTTCTGGGGCTCCCTTAGCATTGCAGGTTTCTAGCTCGTCCTAAATCTCTCTTTGGGGGAAATCTTTCCTGCTGCAGGTGACTACATCTTCTGTCCCCAAGGGAGGGCCTGGCCTTTGCACCCTCTGGTTGCCTTCTCTCTGACGCCCAGAGTTCCATGAGTGCTTGTCACCATACCGGGGACCCCTAGGGTCTGCTGGATTTTGTCCAAACGACACCCCAGAAACCAAATAAAACAGTTGAAATATGTGATTTTTTGCATGGCTTTGTGAGAGGTTAGCGTCCATCAGGGGTCATCCTCTGCCTGGGGACGTCAGTGGACAAGGGGGCCCAGAATCACCGGGATTTCTGTCTTTGGTCTGTGGCAGATGTTATGAGCATGCTGAATTAAGAATGATAAGATTTCTGGGGCACCTGGGGGCTCAATCAGTTAAGCATCCAACTCTTGATTTCAGCTCAGGTCATGATCTCAGGGTGGTGGGATCGAGCCTCGCATTGGGCTCTGTGTTCAGCTCAGAGTCTGCTCGTCTCTCTCTCTCTGCTTTTCCTCTCTTTCTCTCTCACATAAATAAATAAAAACTTAAAAAGAAAAAGAATGATAAGATTTCTGTACTCAATGTTCTCCTTCCTCACAACACACTGCCTTTGTTCTAGTGCACAGAGAGCTTGTATAACTTGCCTATGGTCACAAAGCAAAGTGGATGGCGCTGGGATTTGAATCATGCTCCGGCTGGTGCACAGGATGTGCAAACGTTCCCACAACCCTGACACAGAGAGCCATAACCACCTTTTACATATGGGGAAACTGAGGCTCTGCCGGTTGATGCCCTCTGTCCCACGTGTCACGGCCAGGGGGAAGTGGGCCAGACCGTCAACCCAGGCCACCTTCTTTGGAGCTGACAAATGTCCAATCTGCTGGGAGCTGGATCAGGAAAAACTCTTCATGAGCCTTTGAAATTTGGAAAACAAACAAAACAGTCCTAGACAGAGGGAACTTCAGAATCCTCTTTTTTTTTAAGACTTTATTTATTTATTCTTTTTTTTTTTTTTTTATGATAGTCACATAGAGAGAGGCAGAGACACAGGCAGAGGGAGAAGCAGGCTCCATGCAGGGAGCCCGACATGGGACTCGATCCTGGGTCTCCAGGATCAGGTCCTGGGCTGAAGGCAGCACTAAAGCGCTGAGCCACCCGGGCTGCCCATGAATCCTCAGAATCCTATCACTGGCCTAGAAATGCCAGGAAAACAGATGGCCAGCCAGGAGCTGGACATACGTGAGGTCTCCAGTCTGGAGCTGCTCCCTACAACCTAATACACCGACTCGCTCCTCTTGGTGTGGTTCCATTGTTCAGTAATGGAAAAGTGTCTTAGCAGTGCCTGCAGTGTGGAATTTAGGGAATGTTGGCATCTGGCCATTACTGATCGTGCAGGGATGCCCTACGAGGACAGCACCTCCTTTGCCCCATCTACCCCAAGGTCAGGTCAGGTCTAGGTAGGGGCGGCTCATGCTGACCTGTCCTTACCAATTCGGATTACTCAGCACTCTGGCTTGCCTTCCAGGCCGGGCCTCTGCAGAGGTCACAGCAGTGTGGCTGCAGAGTGGCCCAAGCTCCTGGTCAGTCCACACCCTTTACTGACCACTTACTATGTGCGTCAAGCTGGTGGGGCAAGAGCCCCATCTTCCCAACAGCCCCTGTCGGGATGGAGGTGCCAGCAGCAGAAACCAGTGTGTTTACTAAGCCCCTGAATGTCCGGAGCATCATGGAGGGAGATTGGGACACATAGCCCAGCATAATCCCCCATAACAGAGGCTGAGATTGAGTCTCAGGGGGGGCCAAGGCTTGGCTGGGCTCACACGGCCAGTGGGTGCGTGCTGAGGGTGGGGGGAAGCCTGACCCTGTTCCTCCAGTGGACACTTGCTGGGTGCCCCTCAGCAAGTCCTTGTACCTCTTGCCTGCACACACTCTGGTCACACTTTACACATCCCCTCGATCTGCTTCACACTGAGCTCCCCATCTTCTCTGGGGTCAGGAAGCTAGAAGCAGGCACACTGGGCTGGGGCCAGGGGTCCTGAGCAGTGGAGAAAGATCCAAGGGGAAGACCTGGGTCTCTCTGGGGCACCGCTTGCCCCTCCACTTCCTGGTGGCTGGACCTGACACCAGCCCTCCCTGTCCTGAATCCCAGCACTCCGATTCCCTACCACGTCTGCTCTGGGCCCAGCCAAGGGACTGGGTCCCAGAGTAGCTTCATCTCTGTCTGTCTTCAAAGGGCCTCCAGTGTAGGGCAGACAGAGCCAAGCACAGATATTCCCAGTGCTGTGAGGTCAAGGCTGGGCTAGGGGAAAGGATGGGGGTGGGGAGCACCCATCTGAGCCTGGGAAGGTAGTGTTAGAGAAGGCTTCCAGGAGGAGGGGCTTTCTTAGTAAGGGTTTGAAGGATGGGTAGGAGTTCCTCCACAGATGAGGATGAGGGACTGCAAACACACCCGTTAATCACATACCTCCTATGTGTCTGCTCCTGTCCTTCATACCTCATTTGAACTTCTCTGCAGTGAAAGTCTCAGTTCTCATTTTCCAGGTGAAGAAACGGAAGTGGGATGGAGAGGACTGACTTGCCTACAGTTGTACTTTCTGGCTCCTTTGATCCCTTTCTCCTCTGCTTCCTTAGTTTTTCAAAATCTTCAGCCTTTGACTCTAACCAGGAAGGGAGAGGGGGAATCCCAGGAGGAGGAAGGCCACCTCTTGAACTCTTGCTGTGGGATGTAGCATATAGAAATATCTTTTTTGACAAAAGCATTCTTTCCCACCAGTCCACCAAGCTGGAAGGAAGTCCCCATTTCATAGAAGATGCTACTGAGGCTCAGAGAGACTTCTAGGGGGAGGGTACCCCCCTTTCCCCAGGAGAACCCCCCCAGAAGGGCCTCCCCCTGAAAAGCAGCCCAAGACTCAGCCAACTCTGGTCCCTGGAGTGTTTACTCTGCACCCAGGGCGGAAGGGACCAGGCAGGCGGGGGCGGACAAAGTCCGGGGATTATAAAGGCCAGTCCAGCAGCGTCCGGTGGCTCAGTTCAGAGCTCAGCGAGCACCGGCATGCCTGGACAGGGACCGGCACCAGCACACTGCTCTCCCATGCTGGTGATACTGGTGATGCTCTCCTGGCTGCCTTCGGGAGGCGCCCTGTCTCTGGCCCAGGAGCACCTCCCCGCCTTTCCAGGACCCTCAGACCCGCACTCCAGTACCGATGTGTCCAGAATCCAGGAGCTTCGGAAACGCTACGAGCACCTGCAGACCAAGCTGAGGCTGAACCAAGGCTGGGCCGATTCAAACCCTGACCTCGTCCCTGCAACTCGAGTCCGGATACTCACTCCAAAGCGTGAGTGAAATCTAGGAGACCTCCGCCCCCTGAGCAGCTACCATCATCTAACCAATGGTTCTGAGTCATAGGGGCTCAGGCCTGCCACTGAGCCTCAGTCTCCCCACCTGTGAATCGGACAAGAACATCTCCCCTTGGGGCTGACAGTGAGGGGGAGGGGGACGGGCGGGGGGCAGGTGGCCCAGTTTACGCCTGAGACAAGATGAGGGTTTGGCTAAAGTGCGATGTTACAGATCGCAGATGGGGAAACTGAGGCCCAGAGAAGCTAGCGATTCTTTTTGAAAACTCTCAGAGCCTGGAATTCCCAGAGACGAAGTCAGGCAGCGGCGGGGGTGGTGCGGGGAGGAGGGGTCCTTGTCTTTGGATGTAAGGGCTGGGGGAGGGCGCGCAATCCCGGAGAAAGGATGCAGAGAGCGGCGGAGCGGGACGAGAGGAGCGCAGCCCGCGGATAGGTGGAATCTGCCGGTACCCGTTCCAAATCTGACGCAATCCCTTGACACCGCACTGCTAAAGCCGCACGTGGCATGTGCCTTAGGGAGGGAGGAGATATTCTCTCGCCATCCGCGGAGGATCTAGGGGGAGGAGAGGGAAGGAGATCTGGGCTACGCTGGGAACTGGGAGGGGTTAGGGGAAGAGCGTCAGGCCAGAAGGGAGCGCTGCTGTCTCGCCCTAATCCTACTAGTGCTGGGAGACTTCAGGTAAGCCTCTTGTCCTCTCTGAGCCTAGTGTCCCAGTCCCCGGCTTCAAAGCCTGGTCCCCCCAGTATCTCCAATACCTGTACCAGCCTATAGGGATCTGTGAATCCCGGGGAGCCAGGTAGCCTTCATTTCTCAGATATAGAAACCAAGACTCAGAGAGTTGAAAACACAGTAGCTAGTCGTATCCCCAGCCCCAGGCACTTGGTAGGCCTTCAATAAAATGGTCTTGACTGCCAGAGGAGGCAGAACCAGTGATTGGATCTTAGTCCCTCTAAGTATCAAGTATATATTAATTCCTGCAAGTATTTACTAAGCACCTACTGTATGCCAGATATGGTAGCAACCAAGCAGACAGAAATCTCTGCTGAGGGGATGCAATAGGGGAGATGAAATGATACACAATGAAATAAAATAGTGCCTATTTTAGGCAGGCTAGAGAGGTATGTAGCCTGCCGTGCTGAGATGCAGGAGAACAGTGTGCTTGGAAGAGGAAGCAGCTTGTGCAAAGGCCCTGCGGTGGGATGCAGCTTGGCGTGTGGGAGAAAATGGGCACTCCACGCCTGGCGCACAGTAGGCCCGTGGTTGACTGACTGGCTTTCCTCTCTCCCTCAGTGCGACTTGGGCCGCGAGGCCACCTGCACCTGCGCATCGCCCGGGCCGACCTGACTGCGGGGCTCCCCGCAGCCTCCCGCCTACATCGGGCGCTGCTCAGACTGTCCCCGACGGAGCCGAGCTCGTGGGACGTGACGCGGCCGCTGCAGCGTCAGCTCAGTCGTGGAGGTTCCCGGACGCCCACACTACGCCTCCGACTGTTGCCTCAGTGGGACCGGTTGCGAGCGTTGCCTTCTGCACGTCCGCAGCTTGAGCTGCACTGGCGGCCACGCGCGGCCAGGGGGCGCCGCAACGCGCATGCGCACGCCCGGGACGGTTGCCCCCTCGGGGAGGGGCGCTGCTGCCGCCTGCAAAGCCTGCGCGCGTCGCTCCAGGACTTGGGTTGGGCCAACTGGGTGGTGGCGCCCCGCGAGCTGGACGTGCGCATGTGTGTAGGCGCGTGCCCAAGCCAGTTCCGGTCGGCCAACACGCACGCCCAGATGCAGGCGCGCCTGCACGGCCTGAACCCCGACGCCGCGCCTGCGCCGTGCTGCGTGCCCGCCAGCTATGAGCCGGTGGTGCTCATGCACCAAGACAGCGACGGGCGCGTGTCGCTGACGCCCTTCGACGACCTCGTGGCCAAGGACTGCCACTGCGTGTGAGCGCTCCCGGTCTTTCACTTACGGCTCGTGAGCGATGGAGGTGACCCCAGAGACCCTGCCTGTCGAATGGGCTTGTGGGGCCTGAGATTGCCGACTTCCCACCACTGCTATCTATACTCCATCCCGCCCAAACCTCTGTATTTATACGTTTGTATTTATTATTAATTTATTGGGGCGATCTTGGGAACTGGAGGGTTGGGGAGGGCTGGTCTGACGGTGTGCCTTTATTTAAAACTGTGGTAATAAAAATGAAGGTGTCTGACCTGAGCCCCTTGGTGTCGAGGATGAAGCTGGTGACCCTGGGAAAAACCTTCCCTTCCCTGGCCCCAGTCTCACAGGGGACCTGGTATCAGGGTGAGTGGAACCGTTCAGGAATGCGTGGTGGAGCATTCTGGGATGTCAGGCAATCATGGTGCTCATGACACCGATGCACCCAATGACACCTTTCTCTCTGTTTCTGCTTCTCTAGCTCCCTGTTCCTCTGTTTCTGAGACCTTCTGCGTGTCAGGCTCACCCATATCTCATCTCAGTATTCCTGTTTCTGTGCCTTGTCTCTATGACTGCCCTGCTGTCTCTCCTTGCTTTGGAGTCACCCTTCCAAACACAGGCAGCCCAGATCATGTCCATCTGCTCCCAACCTAGAAGATTCCATCACTTCTGTTTGTGGCACCTCCCTCCATGTTAATGGTACTTCTATTTTTTGTATAAAAAGAGCAAGGGTCGGGATCCCTGGGTGGCGCAGTGGTTTGGCGCCTGCCTTTGGCTCAGGGCGCGATCCTGGAGATCCGGGATCGAATCCCATATCGGGCTCTCGGTGCATGGAGCCTGCTTCTCCCTCTGCCTGTGTCTCTGCCTCTCTCTCTCTCTGTGTGTGAATATCATAAATAAATAAATTAAAAAAAAAAAAAAGAGCAAGGGTGGGAGCCATGCCCTGTGCGGCTAAGGCAGCTGGGAGTTCCAGGGCTCCACCCATGCTTAGTTTTCCCCAGCCCGCAAGTGACGGCATGGCAGCCATCCCCCCCCCCCCCAGCGGTTCACTGGTGACCACCTGTGCCACTTGCGTTCCGTTTCCAGTAACAGCTCCTGCAGAAGTGCAGAGTATCCTGGGGAAGCCATCCCTCACTACCCTGGCTGACCCGGGTTACTGGTGGGCAAGCTTCTCTTTCGGGAAGTGCACTCTCCTGTTCATGGCTACAGTGTTGGAGTCCCCAGAACCCTTGGGATCTCTCTAGGACTCTAGCAGCAAGATCACCTGTGACTTGACTCTGGAAGCTATGAGGAAGCAGCTTGGTGGCCAGCCTGCAAAGCCAACACCCGGCCCCAGGCCTGTGGCCACCCCCAGCCATCCTGCCTCAGGAGGCACAAGGCTTATCAGAGCTCTTCTCCCCTTTCTTCCCCTTCCCTCCCCCTAGACCAGGCAGGCTGCAGCAAGCAGAAGCAGTTGGGTTCTTTTATATTGAAACAACAAAACACCAAAAAGGAAGTTGATAGAACCCCACTCTTTACTATCCAAGCTACAGACAAGCTTTCCTGACACCCTGTAATTGTGTGCCTTGCACCAAGTGGAAAACTGCAAGCAGCCAGTTAAAGAGAGAGAAAAAAAAAACACAGGAGGAAATAAATACATTGTGAAGAACATTTTCATGCACAGGGCATCTCTCATCTTATATAGTCTTCTTACTTAGGATCTTGGAATCCCTAAGATAGTCTAAGTACCCCCTCTCCCCACACCCACCTGCCTATCCACCCTGAGAATCTCTGGAGGAAATGTTAGGGGGAGGGGGGTCTTGGGGACAGAGGCCCTATTTCCGGCAGTGAGATGTGTCCCCTGTGAATGCCGCCACCCAGAGGCAGACAAGAATGATTATGGGTGTCCCTAAATATTCAGTGAATGCCTAGCTTTTTGCCAGGCCTCGACTGGGTACTCAGGACACAGAAGTAACAAGACAGGCAAAAGCATTCCATTTGCACTCAGTTGACTGAGAAACACAAATGAGTACAAAGATAAATGATAAGAAAGTGGTCGGGGCACCTCGGTGGCTCAGTGGTTGAGCATCTGCCTTTGGCTCAGATCGTGATCCGAGGGTCCTGAGATTGAGTCCTGCATCAGATTCCTTGTGGGGAGCCTGCTTCTCCCTCTGCCGATGTTTCTGCCTCTCTCTCTGTCTCTCATGAATAAATACATAAAATCTTTAAAAAAAATAAATAAGAAAGTGGCGGACTGCGATATGAAATGTGCTGAGGAGTCAACCCAGGGAATATATCAATGAATGGAGGCAGAGGCGATTGACATGGTTGGGGGAGGGGGCCTTCATGAAGATAGGGCATCTGAACGGAGACCTGGAGGAAGAACAGGACTCCGGGGAGAGTTGGGGAATTGGCATTTGAGGATGCCAGAACAGCAGGTGCAAAGGCACTGGGGTGGGAATAAGCTCAGTGTTCGGCAATAAAAATGTTGTAGATGGGACCAGAGAAGTGGGTGAGGGCAGACTCCACCAAATCTCCTGGGTGGTAGTGGTGAGGGGTGTGGGTGTGTTTGAAGAGCCATGGGCAGATGTGAAGGAGTAGGAGCTGGGAGTGTTGGGATCTGATTAATGCTGGAGAAGGAGGAAGACAGATGATCGGGGGCAGGAGTGGGCACTTGAACAGTGTCTAGGATGGGGATGCAGGGGTTCAAGGAAGCTAAAGATCCTTATATAGGTCCCCTCTCCCACCCCATCTCAATGACTTGAGATCATTTTCAAGTGTTGGGGACCCCAAGGGAACCTCAAAATTAAACTTAATACCAGGGTCACCCAAAGTTAACAGATGCCATATGAGCCTCTCCCCCAAATATCAGCTGTTGCTTTTGATGAACATTTGTGTTGCCCACGTGCCTTTCATACCTCTCGGCTGCTGCTTACCAGGCTGGTCCCCCTGCCCAGTAGGCGTGTCCTCTCCACTTCTCAAACACTTACATGTCCTTCAAAACCCACTCCAGATTCCCCTCTTGCACACAGCTTTTTCTAAACTCCTTCGTTCATCTCCCTCTGGAACCCTTGGCCCCATCCCAGGCTTGACCGCTCAGGACTGAGGGTGTCTGTGTCCAGCTGTCTCCCCTACATTGGAGGGTTGGCAGGAGCCAGGCCAGGAGCAGCTGAAGGAAACCCAGCTGAGGCATGAGTTTGAACAAACTCTTGAAATACACGGAGCATTGGGAGTGATTAACTCTACCTGCAGAGGAAACAAGAAAGCTTCTGAGTAGAATGGCATTGAACCTGGCCTTGCAGGATGAGTTAGGATAGCTCAGCATAATAAAGCTAAAACAGCTGCCGAAACTAATTCTAATTGCCTTGTCGTACAGATGGGGGATCTGAGGGCCTGTTAATGGCAGAGTCAGGACTCGGACCCATGCCTCCATGGGTACGGAGTTCTACACCGGTATTAAGATGTTTAAGAGTGACAAAAAGGGGATGGGGATGGCATTCTGGGCAAAAAGAATGGCATGGACAAATGAAAACTTTAGGAGTGAGATGGGCTTGGTGGTAAGGAGGCCTAGGCCAGAAGGACAGAAGAATGGGAGAGGGCAGCGAGGTGGGCAGGGTGGAATCATGCAGGCCTCAATTACCAGACTGAAGTCTTGGGGGCCATGGGGAGCCATGGAGGGTGTGTGAGCAGAGGAGGGACACAGTCCCATTCATAGTTGTAATGACCCCTCTGGGGTTTGTGTGGGCTTCCCTGGGGACTGAGCCTCGGAAGTCTTAAGAGATCTGGTTTGGGGATCTTAGGGAATCCTCACCTCAAGGAACCCACTCACCCTGAGCCAGCAGCCTTGTCAGCCCTGCAGCGTTTATTGAGCACGGCCTAGACACTGACAGGAAGGTGACGATGGAGTTCACAAATTGACCTTGTTACCCCCATGCTGGGGCCTCTCCTCTTCCCCTTCCAGCAGCTGAGGGAACTGAGAAGCAGAGTGGGGGCTGGAGAGGGAACTGCAGAACCTCTCTGGGGCCTCAGGGATGGTCTTTCCCTGTCCTCATTCCTCAGGTTTGGGAAGACTGAGGCCAGGGAAGAGCCAGAAGGCCGCAAGTCACCTAGAAGGCATCATGCTGGAGTTCGGGGCATCAAAGGCTCAGCACCTGGGGAACACATACTCCTCTTAGTCCAGCGGGCCCCGGTACACGGACTGCAGGTTGCAGTAGACAGGCTGGGAGGAATGGTCGGGGCCCTCGTAGTTCATGTAGAAGTCGCTGTCCTCTGATGAGTGAGCCCTGTGGAAAAAGAGAGATGTGAGGGGAGGAAGGACTCAGAGGGTAGGCATGTCAGCTTTGAGAGGTAAAGAAAGTTCTGGGCGACTGAGTCCCTTCCTACATTTACATATGAGGAAACTGAGGCACGGGGCAGTGTTCTCCCAGCCTCCCAACCTTCTCTGAGGAAAGGAGGTGGGGGCCAGAGATTCAGGGAAGATTCCATGGATTTAGCATTATAACACTGTGGTCCAAGGACCTCAAGCCCATGATCGAATTATTTACTTCCTTAAAGTTGAGGCAGTTGCTCATTTTTTTACTTTAAAATCTACACTTTGGTTTCTTTTCTTTTTTAAAAAAATTATTTTATTTTAAGATTTTATTTATTTATTTATGAGAGAGAGAGAGAGAGAGAGAGAGAGAGAGAGAGAGAGGCAAAGACATAAGCAGAGGCCTCCCGCAAGGAACCCGATATGGGACCCGATCCTGGACCCTGGGATCACGCCCTGAGCCAAAGGCAGATGCCCAACCACTGAGGCACCCAGGCATTCCTCTTTTCTTTTCTTAAGATTTTATTTATTCATTTGAGAGAGCGAGAGCGCATGAGCAGGGGGGAGGCAGACAGAGAGGTAGAAGTAGACTCCTTGCTGAGCTGGGAGCTGGACCCCAGGACCTGGAGTTCATGACTTGAGCCCAAGGCAGACGCTTAACCATCAGGTGCCTCCCCACCATCCACCGTTTTTTTAAAGATAGACTTCGGTTTCGTCTTGAAAAATCAGAAGCTCTAGTCACACCAGCCACATGAACGCAAGTGGCTAGAGCCAAACCAGTGTCCCTTCAGCTGGGAAATGTTTTTACTAGGTTCTCCGAAGCAACTGACTTTGCGGCCTCAATATAGAAATAAATTTCTGAGTCTCAGTTTCCGCATCCATAGAATTGGTCTGGGAGGAGGTAGCTCTTAGCAAAGTCTAGCTATGTATGGTGGACAAGAACTCCACCCCCCACCCCCACCTCCCCACGTCCCGGGGAAAAGCTCTCCTGCCTCTGGAACATCCTAACACTACCCTGGACTCCTCTGGTGACAAAGGCTACTTTGGGCAAGTGGAGTCTATCATTCATTCATGCTTTAGAATGAATCACTCCAAACACATAAATGCTCGTATAGGGATAGACAGGACTGGGAGTCAGGATCTGTTTCCTACCTCTGCTTCGGACTCAGTGTGTGACCTTGGGCAAGTCCCCCCTCTGCCTCCCAGGGCCTCCGTTTGTACAAGGAAAATGTATAGTGGGAATGGCAGATCCAATTCTAAACAATGTTTTTGGAGGAGACTGGTCCTGAGGCTTTGGTGACAGCAAGGCAGAGGGGAGCATCACAGCGCAAGCTGCCTTAGTGGGTCTAATTAGTGCCTTCAACTCCCTCCTGCAGACCACTTCTGCTTTTGAGCTGTATTTGCATCTGTTTTGCATATTCTCCTATTTCTCACCAACAGCTTCCCCCCAGCCTCCCCACTTTGTGGATTTCCCTGTCCACACCCATCCATGATCCTGTTCCATTCCTGCTCAGATTCCCTCAGCTCTAATGTTTTGCCTTCTCAAAACTGATTCACAGAAGATTCTCCATTCTCCTCCACCTCCAGGCCTTTGCCCCGGCCTGTGCTGTCCCCTGCAATTCCTTTCATTCCCTTATCCAACCTGGAAAAGTTGAAGCCATCCATCTAAGTCCAGCCAAACCTAGAGGTGTCAGGGCTTTGGGGGGGGCGGGGACACAGCTTTCTTAGCATCTCATGTGTCAAAGGGACATGTGGAGGGGCGCCTGGGTGGCTCAGTGGTTGAGCGCCTGCCTTTGGCTCAGGTCATGATCCTGGGGTCCTGGGATTGAGTCCCCACATCGGGCTCGCCACAGGGAGCCTGCTTCTCCCTCTGCCTGTGTCTCTGCCTCTCTCTCTGTGTCTCTCATGAATAAATAAATAAAATCTTTTAAAAAAGCAGAGGGACCTGTGGGAGGGGAGCCATCCCCACTGTATAAAGACTGAAACAGAGGCTCAGAAATAGCCCTGGGTCACACAGGATCTGAGCCTAGACCACTGACTATTGTTGCAAAGCCCCTACTCTGCCTGGAACACTTGCCTCCTCTCTCCCCATACTGGGCAACCAGAAACTCAGTTTGCGGGTCAGGAAGGAAAACACTTGTCTCATGTACAGGAACTTGCTTAATTCTTATCCCAACTCTGTGAGGTGGGGCTGTTATTATTCCCATTTTACAGGTGAGAAAACGGAGGCCCTGAGGTAAAACTACTTGCCCAAGATCACACAGACTACAACAGGTAGCCCAGGGGTTTGAACCCCGGCCATCTGGTTCCAGAGTCTTGGAGGCAGGTGTGAATCACTCACCCATGTTCGGCCCACTGGTGCCCGGCATCTGGCTGGCCCACAAACACATTCTCATAGTCGGGTGTGGAGAGTCTGGGCTGGGCAGCCACCGGGGGCTTAGGGCTGAGTCCCCGGCTACTGTACCTTGGCTGCTTGCCAGCAACAGACCTAGAACCATCCTGAGCAGCCCATGTTTTGTCCAGGTCCTGGGGACTGGCCATCCAGCGTCCCCGAAGTCTCCAGGCCAGAACTAGGCCAGCAATGGTGAGCACGAGGAGCAGGGTTCCACCGGCCACCAGTGCCACGATGGTCAAGGACAGGCCAGAGGAGCAGCTAACCTCCAGGAAGGCAGACACATTGTGCCAGGCACCGGTGGCTGTGTCCTGGCACTTCGGAGGCTCTTGGCCAGAGCAGTTGTTCTGTCGGACCTGGTGCCAGGATTTTAGGACACAGCTGCAGTCAGCCTTCAGGTCAAGTTGACAGAGCATAGCCAGGTCCGGGTCCACGCGGTCCAGTGAGTTGTTTGTCACATCTAGGACCTGCAGCTTTTCCAGGAGTTTAAAGAAGAGCAATGGTAGCTCTTGAAGATTGTTGCCAGACAGGTCAAGGTAAACCAGGTTCCTGGCCTGCAGAGAGTGGTTCTGGGGCAGTCTGAGGCCTTGGCCACTGAAATTCAGGCATGTGGCCGTGAACTCCATGGTCCAGTTCACGTCCCCGGAGGACACGTTGCAGGAAAGGGCTTGGCTGCCTGGATTCTGCAGCAGCAGTGGCAACAGCAGCATCCACACCAGGGAGCCCTCCATTCAAGCAACCTAGACAGAGAGACACCAGAATCTAGGCCCAGACCTTAGCTTGTGGTCACCTCGCCCTCACCGCTCCTGTTGTATTATTGTCATTGTCGTCGTTGTTGTCTCAGAGTGGCTCAGGCTGCTTCTGAAATGGTACAACGCAGGCCCTCGCTTGCAGCCTCCCTGGCTGGCTCTGGCCTCTGCCTCAGTCGCCCCCTCTGGGGAATGGGTACAGAATCCCAGTGCCCGCAGGTTCTGGGAGGCCAGAAGACCCGGCCCAGTCATCCCCTCCCCTTCTCCCAGAGGAGCCCCTTCGGGTCAATTCGCCCATTCCCCTCAAGCGTGTCCCCCGCCCCACCCCCACGCCCGAATATTTCGGGCGCCCTCATTGGCCAAAAGGAGACCATATGCAAAATAAGCGGTTGCCCCCGGAAACGGCGGGGTCACCGGCCTGCTAATTCTTTCTCCCAGGACTGCGGGGTGCTGCGAGTCTTGGGCTGGGGTCGGACGCGGCTGCTGAAAGGAACCCCGTCCGATCTGGCTTGAGGTCTCTGCCCGGATCCCGGCTCTAGTGCCCCGGTCCTACCTTTCGGGTCCCACCGCCACGCTGTTGCCTGGGCGGCGCGGGAGCTCGCGGAGCTCACCTGGACGCGGGGGCCGAGGTGGTCAGCACCCGCCTCGGATCCGCGTGGCCCGGGGCGCTCCTCGGCTCAGGATCTGCACCCAGCGACTCAGGGGAAGAGGAACTGGTGTCCGGGTGCAATGCTGAGGGGGAAGAATGAAGACACAGAGACCCGCCCCCCTTCAAGGCCTCCGGCCGGGATTCTCACGGGAGGGGGAGGGGCGACCTGCTTCTCTGTTGCTGGAACCCAGAGACTGCATGTCCCCCATTAACACCCCGACAGACTGCTACCTCATCAACTCGCTTCCTGGTTGTCAGCTCAAATTGACGCCCAACCCACGCATTCGTATGTTCGTTCATTCAACCAGCGCCGGTGCTGGACTTCCAGAAGGCCTGAGTGTGGCCGGGTTCTGGTGGAGCACCCAGTCTTCAGAGAGGTCACAGCGGGACACAGACACACACAGTCCAGTGGAGTCAGGTCAGGTCAGAGGGAGCGACAGAGTCCAGGAAGGCTTCTTGGAGGAGGAAGCATTAGGATTGGGGCTTCAACACGAGAGTAGGGTTTTGCCAAGGATTCCCAAAACCAAGCCTTTGACTCTCCAAGCTGCTAGCCTCCCCCACAGACTCAGAGCTCCTGCTCCATAGGGCTGTGAGGAGGGTTCCCTGGGGAAACGTTGAGTCTGGGGCTTGGAGGATGAGTCACAGGAGCTGGCAGAAACAAATGCATGGCAGATTCCAGGCAGAGGTCACAACAGGAGCAGAGGCCCTGCAGCCATGGCTGGATGGGTCAGTGTGTTTAGGAGTGGAGTGGCTGGAGTGGGCAGACCAAGAGGAGGAACTGGTGGTGTGGGCAGGGGGTGGGCAGTGCAGGCTCAGAAGCCAGACTAAGGAGTGGGGCATTATTCCCAGGGACCACGGGGAACCAAGGACGACGTGTGAGCAGTGGAGGGGTGTCATGTCAAAATATTCCCCCAGGCAGCCCGGGTGCCTCAGTGGTTTAGCGCTGCCTTCAGCCCAGGGCCTGATCCTGGAGACCCGGATGGAGTCCCACGTTGGACTCCCTGCATGGAGCCTGCTTCTCCCTCTGCCTCTCTCTCTCTCTCTCTCTCTCATTAATAAATAAATAAAATCGGGATCCCTGGGTGGCGCAGCGGTTTGGCGCCTGCCTTTGGCCCAGGGCGCGATCCTGGAGACCCGGGATCGAATCCCACGTCGGGCTCCCGGTGCATGGAGCCTGCTTCTCCCTCTGCCTGTGTCTCTGCCTCTCTCTCTCTCTCTCTCTCTCTCTCTCTGTGACTATCATAAATAAATAAAAATAAATAAATAAAATATTTAAAAAGAAAATAATCCCCCAGAGTGAACCAGTCTTGGAAGTGGGGGACCTGAGGAAGAGGCCAGAGTTCCAGAGGAGGAGGAGGGGTGCCTGAGTCAGACCCAGAAGATAATAACAAGAGTAGATTAAGAAGGGTGGGCTAGGAGAGGGTCTCAGCCTCACTGGGGTGTCCTGGTGTCAGGAAGACCAGGTTCGAATCCATTCCAGACCCTGGCCCACTGTGCAACTTTAACCACTCTGTGCCTCAGTTTCCACATCGGTAAAACGGGATAAATGCTAAGAGCTTTCTCCTTGACTGTGGGAAGCTACAGTTCACTCCCTGGTGCTTTCTGGTCTCCTCAAACTGTGCCCCTTTCCACCTTCAAACTCAGAGGAATGACCAAAGGTTTTGAACTGAGACTACAGAAAGTTGAAAATTGTTGCTTCAACACACTCAAAAGTACTCATCCTCTCTCTCTTTTTAAAAAGATTTTATTGATTTGACAAGAGAGAGAGCACAGTGAGGAGGGGGTGGCAGGCAGAGGGAGAGGGAGAAGCAGGCTCTGCGCTGAGCAGGGAGCCCAATGCAGGGCTTGATCCCAGGACCCCCGGACCATGACCTGAGCTGAATGCAGATGCCTAACTGACTGAGCCACCCAGGAGCTCCAATGGTACAGAAAAATTGCAAATCACAACTCTGTGGTACCAGTGCCATTTATTTTCCGCTATCAGATTGGCAAAACTTCAAAAGGATGCTAATGTTCGGCAGGGCTGCGGGAGCATCTGTGGCGCTGTCCCAGAGGAAGGTATGCTGACACAGGCCACCGGGGTTACAAACACTTGTCCCTGCTGACCCAGCCTCCCACTTCTGGGATGCTCCTGAATAATTCATGTTTACAAAATGACAAGGGCAGCAGCAGCATGAGCTAACTGATGAGTGGGTAAACAAAACGTGGCTCATCCATACAGCAGAATGTTACTCAGCCATAGAAAGGAACGAAGCCCTGATACCAGCTACATCGTGGATGAACTTTGAAAACATCATGAAGAGTAAAAGCAGCCAGTCACAAAAGGCCACATAGCCTGTGATTCTATTGATATAAAACGTCCAGAACAGGTGAATCCTTAGAGATAGAAAGCCGACTGGTGGTTGCCAGGAGCTGGGGGGAGGGCCTATTCAGGGGGATGGGGTTTCCATTTGGGGCAATGGAAATGTTCTGGAACTAGATGTAGGTGGTGCTTGCAAAACACTGTAAATGTACTAAAATTTCACTGAATTGTACACTCAAAAATGGCTAAAATGGTAGATTTTGTGCGAAGTGTATTTTGAACAATTTAAAACAGGAGGGAAGGCAAAAAGATGGCAGAGCTAAGAGATGATTCATTGCATGTTGGGAGATGGGGGTGATGGGGAAGGGAAGCAACCTGAGGGATTGGTTAGATGAATAACAGCTCCTCCTTCCTGGGGGATGCCTCAGAGTCATAAAAACAAAATGATAGATCTCTATGAACTGATAAGGAAAAACTCATTCATCTTTTTCCATAAACCTTTATTAAGTGGCTACTGTGTGCCAGAGACTGGTCAGGGAGCTGTGCCTACAGCCCTGAACAAAACAGACCAAATCCCTGTGCTTGTGGGGTTCTCGTAGCAGTTGGAGAGGTTGGCAACGTGTAGGATCGACCGAGAAAATATGGAGCAGATGGAAAAAGTAATGCAGAGAAAAATAAAACAAGAAGCAAGCAGGCTAGGTGGCAACTCTTTTTTTTTCTTTTTTCAAGATTTTATTTACTTATTTGGAAGAGAGAGTTCAAATTTGTGCATATGTGCGAGGTGGAGGGAAGCCAAGCTGGTCCTGGGGTTGAGCCCTGCATTGGGTTCCCTTGCCTAGTGGGAGCCTGCTTCTCCATCTCCCCCTCCCCCTGCTTGCACTCTCCCTCTCTGTCTCAAATAAATAAGTAAAATCTTTAAAAAATAAAATAAAACACCGAAATCAGCCAACAAGCCCACATAAAGACACCCTGGCTTTCGGGATAAGAGGGACGGAGCAGGGGTGCCTGGCTGGCTCAGTGGGTTAAGCATCTGCCTGGGGCTCAGGTCATGAATCCAGTGTCCTGGGATGGAGTCCCACACTAGGCTTCCTGCTCAGCGGGGAGCCTGCTTCTCCTTCCCTCCCTGCCCCTGCTCTCTTTCCCTATCTCTCTCAAATAAATAAAATCTTAAAAAAAAAAAAAGGAACAGAGGGGCAGCAGCCACCCTCAGGCTGGTGTGTGAGTGGATATCCCCCATGTCCCACACCCTGGGAGGAGTTAGTGGCATCCAGCCCTCTTAGAATAGGAGGAAATGAGGAAGTGCCAGACACCCGGTCTGTGTGTGTGTGTGTGTGTGTGTGTGTGTGTGTGTGTGTGTGTGTGTGTTTGGGGTGGAGGGAGGTAGGCTTGGGGTCTGGGATAGTGGGTTCTGGAGGTGGTCTGGGGGACCTGAGGGACCCAGAATCTGGAAAATTTAGAGGGGTCAGGAGTTTGGGAGGCCTAGGTCCTGGGGTTTGGGGGTTTGGAAATGCCTGGCATGTGGTAAGGTATTGGGGTCTGAAGCACGGGGCCTGGGAGACCTGGGGTCTGGGCCATTCTAGCTGCCACCCGAACAGGTCGTGTCCAGGCTATGGGAAGCAGGGTAACCCCGGGCTTCACTGCCTGAGGGGGACCAGAAGCTTCCAGAGGGCACACCTCCATACTCCCCCTCCATCCTGCCTGACATGCTCTTGAGCCTGGACCTGAAACAAGCCTGAGTCCCAGGCAGGGCCAGTCCCTCAACACAGAGACTTCCAGAGGTCCTTAGGGCCACCTAGAGACCTTCAGAAATCCCCAGAGATGTCTAGAACAACTCAGATTCCCCAAGCCCCCAGGTTACCCAGAGGCCTTCAGAGATCTTCAGAGACCCCCCCCCCCAAATAGCCACGAAAACATGGGGCCCTCCCACAAAGACAAAGATAGAAATACAGAGTTCCCTGGGATAACCCAGATCCAGGGCCACCAACCTATGGCCTCCTCAATATAGCCATATATGCCCAACTCCCTCTGACCCCCATGTACCTACCTGTACTGGGTGAGGCCTCAGTCCTGCCCCTGCCCCCAGTATTCCCAAGATTGGGAATCTGAAGTGGGATCAAGGGTTTGCCCTCCCCCACCATCTACCTCTCCTCCTATTCCTGGGCTCTCATACTTATCCCTAATCTGCCCTTCTCTGGAGCCCTGATTCTCCATGCGGCCAGAGGTTTGGGGCTCAGGCCCCAGGCCCTGTCCTGCCTGCCATTTGCATTCCCCATGCTTCAAAGTGCAGCCTTTGAATGCCAGACTTCTGTCCCAGCCTGGAATCTGGCTGCCCTTAGGGTCCTGTCTCACCTGGGAGAGGAGGTAGGGCAAGGTGCCAGGCAGCCCAACCCAGCCCAGAAGGCCCAGATCTAAAGGCCTGGGGATCTCAAGGTGTCCAAGGGGGCTCTGGAGCCAGCAGGTCAGGACCAGAGGCAGGTGTGACAAGCCAAGGCCGGGCTGGGTACCCAGACAGTAGGCAGACACGGCCACCCCAGCCAGGCGAGCATCCAGCCAGCGATCACTGAGGTCTAGGCCTCACCTTCACCTCCCCGTGACCCAGGACCGCCACCTTAATCTCTTTAGGACTCGCTTCCTCCTCCCTAAAACAGAGACAACGAAAACCACTCTGTGGGGCCGCTGTGAAGAAGGGCTGAGAGTCAGATGTGAAGGTGAGTGTGTGCCTGGG